ATATTTTTCCTCTGCCTCGGCGTGTCTCTAAACGACCACCTACGCTTCAGCTTCCAAACGGCCAACAAAGAAAGACGAAATCCCCAGATTTTCCCTGTGGAGTGCCTGGGTCTTCCACGAACTCCCTCCCACGCACAGGCGTAATTTTCTGCGTTGATATTAGTGTACTTCTGGCGCTGTCTTGTCCTGGCATACATGCAAGTATATATACATATACATATACATATACATATATACATACATATATATATATATATATATATATATATATATATATATATATATATATATATATATATATATATATATATATATATATATATAATATATATATATATATATATATATATATATATATATATATATATATATATATATATATATATATATAGTGATAGTGAGGAGAGGAGAGAGAGAGAGAGAGAGAGAGAGAGAGAGAGAGAGAGAGAGAGAGAGAGAGAGAGAGAGAGAGAGAGAGAGAGAGAGAGAGAGACAGAGAGAGACAGAGAGAGAGAGAGAGAGAGAGAGAGAGAAGAGAGAGAGAGAGAGAGAGAGAGAGAGAAGAGAGAGAGACAGGGAGAGAGAGAGAGAGAGAGAAAGAGAGAGAGAAAGAGAGAGAGACAGACAGAGAGAGACAGACAGAGAGACAAGAGAGTAAAAAAAGAATACGAGAAACAGGGGAAACAGAGAACGAAAGAGAGAAAAGAATGACAGAGGCAAACTCGCGTCCATCCATTTTATTCCCGCCAAGCAATTCCCTCGCTCTCCTCTTTCTGTTTAACACGCCCTCAGGCTTCGCAGTCCGGTGTCGGTTTGTATTGTCCAGGAATTTTTCTCTACGTTTGTTGACCCAGACAGGGCGACGCCGGTTGTGGTTCCTCGGCAGGACGCTTATATAGAGAGGTTGAGGTGAGGTGAGGTGAGGTGAGGTGAGTTGGTTGGGTTGAGTTGAGTTGAGGTGAGGTGAGGAGAGGTAAGTGGGTTGGGTTGGGTTGGGTTGGTTGAGGTGGGTTGGGTGGGTTGGGTTGGGTTGGGTTGGTTTGGGTTGGTTGGGTTGGGTTGGGTTGGGTTGGGTTGGGTTGGGTTTGGGTTGGTTGGGTTGGGTTGGGTTGGGTTTGTTGATTGGTTGGTTGGGTTGGGTTGGTGAGGGTGGTTTGGGTTGGGTTGGGTTGGGTGGGTTGGTTGGGTTGGTTGGGTTGAGTTGAGGTTGAGTTGAGTTGAGGTTGAGTTTGAGTTGGAGTTGGAGTTGGTTTGGAGTTGGAGTTGGAGTTGGGTTGGGTTGGTTGGGTTAGTTTGGAGTTGGGTTGGAGTTGGAGTTGGAGTTAGAGTTAGAGTTAGAGTTAGAGTTAGAGTTAGAGTTAGAGTTAGAGTGAAGTTGGAGTTGGAGTTGGAGTTGGAGTTTGGAGTTGAGTTGAGTTGGAGTTGGAGTTGGAGTTGAGTTGGAGTTGACTTTGAGTTGAGTTGAGTTGCGTGGAGTTAAGTTGATTTGACTTAAGTTCGTAGCGTTTCGTTGCGTTGATTTGATTTGATTTTGAGTTGATTGTTCTCACGAAGCGCGAAGGTCGAGCTCGCCAGCCTCGCCCTCGACCCAAACTCTCTCTGGAATATTCTCCCTCGATGTCGTCCTCGATTCCCGGATTCCGAATGAGCTTCCACGATGAAGGAAATGATGGGCTTTTGACTGACGTCTTTAAGCTGCGAGGTGTTTCTTCACGCCCCAGCTTCCCGCTCGCTCTCTCCTCACGGATTTGCCTCATTGGCGCTCGACGAGTGATGGTGCCGTGTGCAAGAGAGGGCTGCGACGGGCTTTCAATAATATTTTGTTTCTTTTCTGTTTTTTTTTTTTTTTGTCATGAGAGAGATTTTACTACCGTGTTTTGTGAAAATCTTGGTATCTTTACCTTTTGATTTTTGGGTAGCAATTAGATATGATTTTAGGTATCTGGTTTGATATTAGATCGTATAATTTCAGATGTTTATGAATTGGGGTAAGGAACTATAATTCTGTGTGATGTTCATTATATCTTATTTATTCTAGCTATGATTTTAGTAAATATATACTGTATGTCATTGGTGGCTTTATCAATAATTTAAATAACAATTCCCAGTCACTCGGCGCCAACTCTCATTACAAAACTTAACAAATCCCTTAGTCTTTCCTTGCTAATTCCTGCTTTCTATGATCGCGAATCTTTCCCATGGCGCGATTTGCATAATTCTGCCATGAACAAGTGAACACAATGAAGTCGTTTCAAGTTATACACGTTCAGTAAAGCAGATTATTTCATGGCAATTTCATAACTGTAATTTCCTTGCAAATGACTTTTCTCTCTCCTGCCGTATTTTTGTTCGGAACTGGAGCCTGTCAAGAGAGGCTACTGAGGGCGGTTTGATGCTCTCTGGCCGGGCGAGTCTCATATGCACGTTCTCTTTTTTCATTTCTAGTGAATCCATTTATTTTTCATAATCCCTCGCTGATAATCCGGAAATGATTGATCTG